ATATTTTAAGTTTGGTTGGAATTTTATCTTTATAAACCTTCTGGGGCCAATTTTTTCTATGCTGGAGTTTGTGTCCTGCGGAATGTGTCCTACAGGAGTTATTATGTGTCTCACAGGATGCAGCTTAATTTATTTTTCTCATCAGTTTTGTAATTTTCAGCATAATTGATCTGTTATAGTGCATGAGCAGAACCCGTGCATTCATAATAATAAAAAGCACAATGTTTATGTAAAAAAAAAAATTTGTGTGACAGAAATTAAAGTCCATGCGTCATATCCCCAGAAGAACTTGTACTAGGATTCTTAAATTTTTACAGTAGGTGCAAGGAAAGATTTTAGCATCTAATCTGAAAAATCATTCAAAAATTTAATTTGCTGATTTGGATTAGGCATGTTAAAAATAATTTTTTTTCATAGGATTTGCATTAGGCATTGTTGCAAACTAAATTGCACCCCCCCCCCCCAAATTATTAAATGATGATTGTAGCTTACAGAACTGTTTCATACAAGGTGAGTTTCACTTGAAATTTATTACACATCCCTTAATAATTATTTATGTTTGATTCTTTACGTCCAGTAAGCACAAAAAAAGAAATGTAATTAACATATTGGGGAGAAAGTTTCTAAATTAATATTTTTAAAGCTTTTTGAAACCAAGCGTTTATTATTTTCATAGTTATGCTTTTGACATGTGTTTCTATGAAATAAATAATTAAAAATAAATGGTAGTTAAAATAAAAAATTAAGTTACATATTTATTAAATTGGGGGATTGCTTGATTGTAGTAAGTGTTGAGTAACATGTGTAGTTAAAGATCAATAGCATCACATTTGGAGTTGAATGATACTGAGTTACTTTTATTTTGTTTTAATGAGTTGTACTTCTGAAAACATAATTCACTTAATCTAATAATGTAAAGCAATCAGAAAGGGCAACAAATAATAATAAGAGCTTAACTTTTTTTAAATGTGTGGATATATGCCATTCAGCTTTTTGAATGCTTGTCTCGTGTTGATTAGTACCTATTTATAAATTATTGACTATTTTTCCCTAGGTGTTCAGCTAGTCCTAAATAAAGTATATAATGCAACTATTAAACATCCAAGTCATTATAAACTAGCAGAAATTCCCATTCTTTGTATGGGGTGAAAAAAAAGTAAATAATCAATAAATCAGTACTAAATAACACTTAAACCATGTAAAAAACTAAATGACATATACCAACACAATAAACAAAGTTAAAAAAATTTCAATATTTATTTATTTTAATTTGTTGCCCTTTCCTATGGCTTTATGCCATTAGATTCAGAATAACAAATTTTTTTTGTAGTTCATCGTATCAAAATAAGGGTTAACTGTATGCAGCATCATTTGGCACGAAACAGTTGCTTGATGCCAACTCGTGAGTCTATTTTCCCTGTACATATTATACACAATATATATATATATTTTTTTTCAAATGGCAGGCACTGAACTTTATTCATTTCGCCGTAGAAGATGCCAGAGGTGTTACTCATTTCGCGTTACCCAGTGGGCATCTGTAAACCAAAGTCAACCATTGCCCACGCCACACTGCTATAAACCCGTTCATAGGGTGGGCCACATTCACACATCACACACAACAACACAAGAGAGAGAAACATCCATGCCCAGAGCGGGATTCGAACCCAGGGCCATTGGCTTCGCAGTCAGGCGCGCTAACCGCTCGGCCACCTGGAAGGCTTATACACAATATATTAAGGAGGAAAGGCAATTACTGTGCTCTTGTGTGAGCTATATTGGGCTAACTATATTTATTAGTTATAATTGCTGAGTAAACAGCTGAGCATACTTAAATAATGTTATAGTATATGAAATAGTTTAGTAAAACTGAAATATTATTGTTAAATATCCCATATAGCTTTGAGTGGTCACCATTTTCCCCTGTTATTTTATGTGATTTTTAAACTTCCTGTATTTTCCAGGTTTACCCTTTTCTCCCTGTGGAGTGGCAACCCTGTTTAAATATGAATAAATATACTTTTAATACAGATAAATTATGTTTTTGCATAAAGAATGCTATATTGCGAGAGTAATGCATTATTAAAAATAATGATAAACTGTTTTAATAAAAGAATAACTTGTCTTCAATTTGTTTCTTGTTCAAAAATTAACCTTTTATTTTTCCCAATATTTTTTAAAAACAGTGACATAATTTGAATAAAATGGTTTTGGACAAAGAGGTTTTAGACAGGATGATTTAAACTGCGGATTAATCCATTTTATCCTAAAACTTGCCAACTCTGCAACTGTCACTATAGACTTTTACAGTACTCGAGATTGTGATAAGTGAAATTTTTAAATAATGTTTTTTTTATTTTGAATTAGCGAGAATTGAATTGATTCTCGCTAATATTGAATGAAATTTTGAGTTGAATAGAAATTATTTTAAGAGATTCAGTATCCAAAAATAAACGTCACAAATGTAAAATTGTCTAACTTTTTGTTGTTTAATTTATAGATGAAAAAAAGATAAAATTCTTTAAATTTTATACTTTTTTTTCTTAAATAAAATTAAAATATTTAAAGAATTCCAATCTAAACACATAGTTTTTTAGTTTAGTATAGTTAATTGTTTTTGTTTTAACAGCTAGACTCTTGTACAGTGCAGAACTAAAACACTAAGTTTCATTTTCCTTTCTTGTACTAAACACATATGAATAAAAAAAAATTATATTTTATGTTTATACATCATTTAATATACTTCCTATACACTCCTTAATCTTTGTCAGCTTTTTAGGGTAAAAGGAGGAATAGTTTTGGAAATATCATCTCTGAAAAGCAAGCAACATTCACGAACTTTCGATATTGTGATAACTATACAATTCAAATTTAACTATACAAATCAAATATTTACTAACAAATATTATTCAAATATTTACCAACATAACTATACAAATCAAATATTTACCAACAAAACAGTAAAATTAAATATAAATACATACTTAGTTCTTAAAAAACCCTTTTTTCAAAAAAATTAAAATAGGCTATAAAAAGTTAAAATAAAATAGAAAAATTAGCATTAATGCAACAATTGTAACAATTTGTCGACAAACATCGCTGTTAGCGATTGTAAAAAAAATAGGTGGTTGGTTGGTTTCCTGAGAAAAAATTGTTAGAAAAAATTATATTTAAAGATCGACGTTTATTAGAAACACTTAAAAAATGCTGCATCATAATGAAACGTTGNAAAAAAAATTAAAAAAAAAAAAAAAAAAAAAAAAAAAAAAAACAAAAAAAAAAAAATTTCTTATTTCTTGAAACAAAATTTTAATGTTGAAAATCACAGTTTTCTGGAACTAGTTAATTGAATAGTAAAAAATATAAAATAAAAGAATAAAATCTATCAGAAACACTATTAAAATGCTGTCTTAATATAAAAATGAAAAAATAGCAAAAATGAAATAAAAAAACCTTTTTTAACTGTTAAAATAAAAAGTGTAGAAAAAAATGACAAAATTGGATTTCTTAAATATAATTTAAAAAAAACCTCAACGCGAAGCTTGTGGTTTAGTATAAAGTAATCTAGTTTCAAATCTTGAAATTCTGCTCTTCCATTTATCTTTTAGAACATAACTTTGAAATTCATGTGTAAGTTTTAGAACTTGACAAATATGTGTAAAAAATATATCTAATAAGGTATAGTAAGAAATATGATTTTAGAATATTCTTTATTAAATCTATTCAAATTTAATAAAAAGAAATTTCTCGAAAAATACTTTTCCAAAAAATACATTGTTGAATAATTGGTCAAACATTTGCCCAACGGAATGTTTGGTAAAATGGCTAAATATTGAATAGTGAATGATTGTTACATCCCTATATTCAAGGTCACAAAACCAAATGATACTCAAACTCAGCCTAAAGTATAAATAAGAAAAAGATGAAACAAACAACAAATACATTTATAGTTGGGGAGATGCATTAAATAAAACAAAAAATTTCTAAAATTTTGTTCTAGAAATAATGTGTCATAAAAAGGGATAATTTTTACCTTCTAATAACTGAATCAGAAGAGGAATTTTTGAGTCCTACAAAGGCATTAATTTTTTATTAATTGCAGGAACTACTACTTTCATGAACTTGAGTATCTGCATTCCTCTTTCTTGATCTTCAGATGGGTAGCCAATCAAAACAAGAAGTCTAGCAAGAAGAATCTGAGAAGATGTTATACCACCTAAAATGACACATTGACTATTTCTTATCTTAAAGGCAATACAACAAAAAATTTAAAATTCAAATGTAAATTATACTATTTAATCTATTCAATGCTATATATATATACAGTGAACTCTAACTATTACGATATCCAATACAAAAATCACTCCCCTCATCACGATAATATTTCGTGGTTCCAATGAATTTGTATATAAATTAATGTCATGCTCCTCTCAATATTACGATATTCTTTGAAGCAATAAACCTCTGTAAAACGTTTTTTTTCTTCTAAATTTCAACCTTATTTTCTCCATTTATTATCGGTTTTCAATTATTGTAAAAAATCTTATTTTATCATCTTCTGCCGTTTTTTCCATCTTTTCTGACAAGAGAAGACTAATTGCTGACCACCCCAAAAAAATTCCATTCTTGGAATCGCCTTCCTTATCTCTTAAGAAGTCACAGATGTAACATTCCTATCTGATTTCATTTCCATCATGTTAAAAGCTGATCATGAGTCACAAATGACCCCAAGCATCACATTAACACCTGAAAGAGAATTTTTTTTCTGTAGAAGGTGGGTGGAGCCCCATTCGCAAACGAAAATCATTTTTGTGCTTTGAACAAAATGCATACTTTGTTGGTTGACTTAACAGTCAGAAAAATGAATAAACAAACAAAAATATCGGATTATTTTCAATAAAAACAGTTTTCAACTATGTTTCCGATCTTATTTTATCTCAATTGTTTTTAATATTTAACCATAANCCACCTAAAATGACACATTGACTATTTCTTATCTTAAAGGCAATACAACAAAAAATTTAAAATTCAAATGTAAATTATACTATTTAATCTATTCAATGCTATATATATATACAGTGAACTCTAACTATTACGATATCCAATACAAAAATCACTCCCCTCATCACGATAATATTTCGTGGTTCCAATGAATTTGTATATAAATTAATGTCATGCTCCTCTCAATATTACGATATTCTTTGAAGCAATAAACCTCTGTAAAACGCTTTTTTTTTCTAAATTTCAACCTTATTTTCTCCATTTATTATTGGTTTTCAATTATTGTAAAAAATCTTATTTTATCATCTTTTGCCGTTTTTTCCATCTTTTCTGACAAGAGAAGACTAATTGCTGACCACCCCAAAAAATTCCATTCTTGGAATCGCCTTCCTTATCTCTTAAGAAGTCACAGATGTAACATTCTTATCTGATTTCATTTCCATCATGTTAAAAGCTGATCATGAGTCACAAATGACCTCAAGCATCACATTAATGCCTGAAAGAGAATTTTTTTTTTCTGTAGAAGGTGGGTGGAGCCCCATTCGCAAACGAAAATCATATTGTTGCTTTGAACTAAATGAATACTTTGTTGGTTGACTTAGTTAGAAAAATGAATAAACAAACAAAAATATCGGATTATTTTCAATAAAAACAGTTTTCAACTATGCTTCCGATCTTATTTTATCTCAATTGTTTTTAATATTTAACTATAATTATCCTATCTGCAAATTAATATATAAATTTGTAATTAATACACATATATAACATTATCTTACTGTGTCCCCAAAGTATGTAGGGCCTCGACATAACACCAATATATCCATCTACAACGATTTTTTTTATTTGGTTTCAAAAGTACTGTTGCAGCGAGGTTTTACTGAGTATATATATATATAGCATAAAAAATAAATACAAAAAGACAAAAATGAAGAAAATTAAGAAGAACAATAAGTTTTATTTACTGTGCATAAGCTGCAAGTAAATAGAACTCATAAAGTAAGTTCAAAATGTAGAGTAAACATGGATAAAATTACAGAACAATGAAAAAAGGGGAGGGAAGAAAAATAATAATAAAAATAAAAAGGTTTGTTTTTTATTTTTATAATTATTTTTCTTTCCTCGCCTTTTTTCATTGTTCTGTAATTTTTTCCATGTTTTCTCTAGATTTTGAACTTATACAGTATACTCCGGATATCCCAAAATTGAATGGACGCTAAAAAAGTTTCGAGATAATGAGTTTTCGAGATAGCAAGTTCAGAACTAAATATGCTGTAAAAAGTAGAAAAATCTATTCTAAAATATTACCCTGAAAAGTAGAGTGATGAAACAAAAGAATAACTACTAATAATTGTGTATGTAACGATAGTTGACTATAAATCTAAATACAATAATTATAATTTTATTTTTAAAAGTAAGGCAAAAATCATGCTACTAATGTTCAACTCTGTAGCCTTGCAATTTTGAACCCAACTGATAGGTTCATAATTATTGATAGAAAAAGAAATGAGCCTTAATCAGTGATAGGATTAATCACTATTTTCCTTAACGAATTCCTTACAAAATTAATAAACCTGATTTCCATTCCTTTAAATCAGAATTTTCTTTTAAAATTAAAAGAAAAGCAAAACAACAAATTATCATTACTATATAATTTCATTTTATTTTTAGAAAACACATATAACTTTATATAAGACTCAAAAGGAATGGATTCAGGGCTTGAAAAATAAAATTTACAGAATATTATTATTTGTTTTCAGGCAGAAAAAATTTAAACTAAATAGCAAAAAATATATATATACTCAGAGTGTTAAAGTTTATAGTGAAATCAGTTCCCAATTCTTCTCTTTTCTTTGAAGCTAAAGCAGTAAGACTTTTACAAATTGGACTCACGGCAGATGTCAGATTTTATTGTATTAAACAATCTAATATTGTGGGCCAGAGAATCTAAAAGAAGAAAAAAAAATTGTTTTCATCTAATGCTGCAATAATGTTATATGTTTGTATGTATTCTAAATAATGTTATATGTTTTTATATGTATATTTTAAGTTTGGTTGGAATTTTATCTATATAAATCTTCTGGGGCCAATTTTTTCCATGCTGGAGTGTTTGTCCTGCGGAATGTGTCCTACAGGAGTTATTATGTGTCCCAGAGGATGCAGCTTAATTTATTTGTCTCATCAGTTTTGTAATTTTCAGCATAATTGATCTGTTATAGTGCATGAGCAGAACCCGTGCATTCATAATAATAAAAAGTGCAGTGTTTATGTAAAAAAAAATTTTTTTGTGTGACAGAAATTAAAGTCCATGCGTCATATCTCCAGAAGAACTTGTACTAGGATTCTTAAATTTTTACAGTAGGTGCAAGGAAAGATTTTAGCATCTAATCTGAAAAATCATTCAAAAATTTAATTTGCTGATTTGGAATAGGCATGTGAAAAATAATTTTTTTTCATAGGATTTGCATTAGGCATTGTTGCAAACTAAATTGCAGAGAATTCTTCCCCCCCCCCCAAAAAAATTATTAAATGATGATTGTAGCTTACAGAACTGTTTCATACATGGTGAGTTTCACTTGAAGTTTATTACACATCCTTTAATAAGTATTTATGTTTGATTTTTTACGTCCAGTAAGCACAAAAAAAATAAATGCAATTAACATATTGGGGAGAAAGTTTCTAAATTAATATTTTTAAAGCTTTTTGAAACCAAGCGTTTATTATTTTCGTAGTTATGCTTTTGACACGCGTTTCTATGAAATAAATAATTAAAAATAAATGGTAGTTAAAATAAAAAATTAAGTTACATATTTATTGAATTGGGGGATTGCTTGATTGTAGTAAGTGTTGAGTAACATGTGTAGTTAAAGATCAATAGCATCACATTTGGAGTCGAATGATACTGAGTTACTTTTATTTTGTTTTAATGAGTTGTACTTCTGAAAACATAATTCACTTAATCTAATAATGCAAAGTTATCAGAAAGGGCAACAAATAATAATAAGAGCTTAACTTTTTTTAAATGTGTGGATATATGCCATTCAGCTTTTTGAATGCTTGTCTCGTGTTGATTAGTACCTATTTATTAATTATTGACTCTATTTTTACCCTAGGCGTTCAGATAGTCCTAAATAAAGTATATAATGCAACTATTAAACATCCAAGTCATTATAAACTAGCAGAAATTCCCATTCTTTGTATGGGGTGAAAAAAAAGTAAATAATCAATAAATCAGTACTAAATAACACTTAAACCATGTAAAAAACTAAATGACATATACCAACACAATAAACAAAGTTAAAAAAATTTCAATATTTATTTATTATTATTTGTTGCCCTTTCCTATGGCTTTATGCTATTGGATTCAGAATAAAAATTTTTTTTGTAGTTCATCTTATCAAAATTAGGGTTAACTGTAAGCAGCATCATTTGGCACGAAGCAGTTGCTTGATGCCAACTCGTGAGTCTAAATTGACCACATCCAAATATATGTTTTTAGAACTTAGCACTTTCGAAGGAAAGTAAAAAAATCTTTCCACGGTATCCATTAAAAAACTGCACAGTATTGATGCAGTTTTAATAGGTAACTAATATAATGCATTGCACCTACATTAGTATATTTGCTACCTATTTAAACTACACCAAGTATCATAATACAAGTAGTGCCTTTTACCAAATTTAATTAAGTATAATTGACATTGAATATAAAATGGTAATTTTTTATGCTTCTCCTAAACGAATTAAGACAATTTCTCCATTAATTTTGCTTTCTAGTAGATAGCTTTATGGGGATATATTTACTGATTATATCAACCTTCATCTATGAAAGGGTACCCCAACATAAAATCGAGTTAACATGTCTTATAAACTAGTGAATTGGATTTGTATTTCTGTAGTGGTAGATACACTACAAGCTTATTTTTTCAAAATTATTTTAGAATTAAAAACTAATTAATTGGCATCAATCACAGTATGACAATTTTTTCACAAGTAAATCAGTACAATTTCCCCATTAATTTTTTCCCCTTTCAGTACATAAGTTATTTTTTTATTTCAATTACTATAAATTTTCAATTATATAGGATTGAGGGCTAAAAAAGACCCTTGCAGTTACTGTCTAAATTTCAAAAGGTAGATTCAGGAGTTATAAGAGACATTCACACAGAAAAACTGCTCATTTAATTATTATAAATTAAATGCATTTCTAATTAAATTAAATGTATATAAAATTTAAATATTTAAACTATAAAGAAAATACAGTTCCTTTGATTACTTTTATGACAGTACAAACTATTGTGGGCCTTAGCTTGCTGAATTATGCTGTTCCAAATAAAGTGTTTCTTTTTATTAAAATGAAAAAGTGTGCAATTTCAGAAACAATCATATTCTTATATTAAACATGTAGCGTAAACTTTTCATTGATTAAAATATTAAATTCTAATAATCCAAAATATTAGAATGACTCACATTTTCCATGTTCTCTACTGTTGTAGTCAACAAATGCATGACGTTTTCACACATTCCCCTGAGAGCTTCATTACTCACATAACTAGGATCACCAGGCCTTCTACCCTACAGAAATAAACACACAAGAAATTTAGAATAAACTAGATGGGCAAATAGGGTGTAGTCTAAGTTATTACCTTTTATTACTTGAGTTACCGTTTTACTCGAGTCGAGTTACTGCGCATTTACCTTTTATTACTCGAATAAATAAGAAACAAAAAAAATAATAATAAGAAAATTAATAATTTATCTTCATTTTTCGTAAACAATAGTATTCTTAGTAAATAGTCAGCTGTTCTGCATCGAATGATATTGTGTTTGATCAGTAGAATATTTTTAATTTCTTAACAAGATTTAATTCTCAGATAGCTGGCAATAATTCTAAGTTTTCTTTCAATAAGAATTTAGCAATCATTTAAAAAGTAATTTTATTTTAAAGGAAAACATAAATTAATGAACTAAAACTATTGATCAGTATATTATTGGAAAATAATATACACCGAAGAGCCATTAGATTATGACTACCTTGCTAATAACATGTAGGACGACCTTTAGTCCTCAAAACTGCTAGCACCTGCTGTGGCATCGATTCCACAAGGTGCTGATAGGTAGTTTGAGGTAACTGGTTCCAAGCGCTCACCTACTGGTCCTGCAATTCCCTCACATTGCGAGAGGGTAGCGTGGCAGCACGAATTTGGTTTTCCAAGTAGGACCACAAATGCTCTATTGGATTAAGATCAGGTGAATTTGGGGGCCAAGACATGGTTTGAAAGTCACTGGAATGTTCCTCGAACATGACAATTCGACCCTTATGACATGATGAATTATCCTGTTGGTAAACACCATTACCAGCAGGAAAAACTGTTGCCATGAATGGGTGAACCTGGTCTGCAACTATGTCCAAGTAGCTTACGGACGTCAGGAATTGTTCTATAAGGATTATGGGTTCTAATGTACCCCATGTAAACATTGTTACTGGGCGAGAAACCATGAAAACCTGGGCAAGCCCATTGTTATAGATAGAGGGTGGTCATACTATAATGGCTCTTCGGTGTATATGGTAGAATAAAAAATTAAATAAGATTTTGCATTAAAATTCAATTAAAAAGTTAGAAAAATAATTCTGAGAAACACGCGCTGATAGGTAATTTACAAATTTATTTTAAGATTATGGCGATGTATAAGATGTAGAGAAGTTTTAAGACCATTAAAAATGCTGACTACGTATTTTTATTAATATTCATAAAATATATATTCAAGAAATTGATAAATATATTATTCCAAATCTATGCATATGCGTGTATATTATTGAAATTGTATCAGTTATTGAAAAACAAAATAAAAAAATAAAAAATAATCACATTGAATAAGCACAATCTGGTGTATAACCATATTCTATCAGAAGCACGCTTTTATGAAACTAAACATTCCTTGAATAAAGTGTTTTTTATTCAAATTTCTTTACTAAAGTGCAAAAAAATTATTTAGCGACTAAAAAAGAAACATCGTATTTTATAGTTTGAAAGAAATAAAAGTAAAAAGATTAGCAAACGATTATTAGCAAAAAAAAAAATATTAATGAAATTTTACGCTACACGCGCGAAGTCAAGTTTCTCGCAAGTTTATCACATTTTAATATTAATCGCCCCATTTAAGTATTTTTTTATTGTCGCCAAATTATTTTTTTAAAAATAATTAATTTTAATTTTTCTCAGCTTCTAATAAATAAAAACAGTTGAAACTTTAGATTTTTCAATTGAAAAATATGTAGATTAATATGGTATAAAAAAAATTCATACCTTATAATTCAAAATTTTTTCATCCTCAATTTAATTAATTAATAAAAAATAATAATTAATTATTAAAAATTATTTTTTTCATGAAATTATCTTTGGGTAATTGAATTTTATGAGTGGGTGTAATTTTTTTTGAATTGCTTAATTAGCTTTCAAAATATGACTAAAAACGCAAAAAGTGAAATTAACATTAAGGGGTCCAAACTTTGAATCGCTCGCCTGCTCAAACTATGGGGACCACATTTCCCAGATTGTGGCTACTCCCTATATTTTGAAGATTAAGAATCCAAATATGTAAAAAAAAATATATGTTTATTCATTCAGAGANAGCACCTTTAATCACTTTTTAAAAATACTACACACCATGTACTTGGGAAAATAGGGTATTGTCCTAATGCTAACAATGGCAGGAGAACTCCTGAGAGAAAAAAACTTAATTTTCATACTGAAATAATTTTAAATCTTACTTTAATTATATGAGACTGTTATAAGACAATTAATTAATTAACAATCTCAGAAATAGATAATAGTGATTTATTTCATGGTAACTGAGCTGGCAAAAGCATTTGGTAAAAAGTACAGAGCCCACTGCCTATTAAAATAACGTCTATACTGAAAATAATTGACTTTAAAAGCTTGCTGCTTTTATAAACCGGAATGTTTACATTTAAAAAATAAATTTCAAAGTTAAATTTAACAAATACAGTAAAATTTCAATTGATTAGTACATTTGTAATGCATTTTTACTGAATCTACACTTGACATTTTAATTAAACATGAGCTACAATTTTTTATAATTTACAAAAGGATTTTAAAATGTTAGGACATTTAATTTGTGAGATTTAATATCAAAAAATCAATAAAGTTGAAAAGTTCATAAAAGTTGTTAAAACTTTCAATATTTTCTTTTACTATTTTAGTTCAATCTACATTTAGTTCTTTTTGCTTGTTGGAGGCAGGATGGACTTTTTTATTTATATGCTTTTGCAACATAAAATTGAAGAGATTTTAATTATTTTAAGTGTATACTCAACAACAATTTGACTTTTAAAAATTTGATAAGAGGATGATTTTAGCATGTTTTAATATTATTATGTATCCGCTCTTACATATATAATTTTAAAAAGAAGATGAATATATAATTTATTGAATTTATTACTGACTGTCACTGTACTGCAATACTTAGATAAACTTAAAAAATATTTTTAAACATTGTAAATTAATCTGAGTAAAACACTTTTTATTTATTTTTATATGGATACTGGAAATGATTTTCAAATGGTTGAATTTCAATGGTTGAATGATCAAATTTATGATTTCCACATAAATTTTCATTCCCAGAGCCCTAGATAAAAAATAGCATGCATTGATTCCAGTACCAAAAAAATTTGCAACTGCAATCAATGCATGCAAGTGTTTGTGTTGTTCATATTCATAGTTATAACAAAAAAATTTTGATGAAAATAAAAGGAATCATTAAGATTATACATATGTATGGCCTATCATAAAATCAAAAATTATTCAGGCATTCTCTTTTTTGTTTTACACACTGTATTTTATATCAATCAAATTTTTATACATATTGAAAGACAAAGCAAAATATCTTGCCTCAATAAACTCAGGTAACAGTGGGTTTAAACAAAATATTTGAAATATATCAAGTACAAGAATAATTTGATGAATCATTAATTGTGAAAATAATGAAAAATAACGCAATCAGAGATGGAAAAAGTTTTAAATCTAAGAAATATATTCAAAAATTTGAATATTGCTGTGAATAAATTTCAAGTTAAATGGTAATTCACAAGAGATTTTTTTAAATAACTGATATTTTCTTAATAATAATTTTTTTTTCAACTAATATTTCATACCAGTACAATTTAAGGAAAAGCAAATTTAGTTATTAGGGAATTAGACAAAGTTTCTAAAACCAATGTGAGAAAAAACGCAAACGAAATTGTTAATATGGCACTTTCAGTGTCAGCAAAAACTTACCATAGATTTTTACAAATATTGTACAAAACTGCAGATAAAGATTATAAAAGTTGCTTTCTTGAGCAACTTTTCATTCACCAAATAACCATCTCAATTGTACAAAAGAAAAGAGATAAAAATCAAGCTTTCTGTGTTCATATGCAAGTTATAAATTATTAAGTTAAGCTTTCCGTGCTTAAATGTTCAGTTAACAAAAGTTTATAAGTTTTTTAATAACATCATCAATACTCAAATGTGTATAAATGGAATAGGAGAGAAAATTATAAATGAAATTAACTTACAGGTGGATCGTCTGGGAGGGCACCATTTTCTTCACCTAAATGGTAAAGTAAATTTCACAATATTAATAATAAATTCCTAACAAAAATCATTATAATAACAATAATTCATAAAAATAATAATCAATAATAAGAGTAGCAATTAATAGCTCCATAATTTGCGACTTATAGATAAATTAAGTTAAATTTATCAGATAAATTTATTAATTGCAGGTAATTCTGAGCAGGAGCATTACATAGAGGCATTCATTAAGAAATAAGAAACAACACAACTAACGGTTAATGGGTCTCTGAGTATGCAACCTATTGACATCTTTCAGGTAAAAACTAAGCAAAATTATTTTAGCATTATTAATCGAAAAACTTAGTATAAGAACCAGGTAAGTGACATTTTCAGAGAAGTTATAATCAGAGTATGAAAAAGTGGCATCTAAACTAGTTTATTAACAATTTCTTAAAAGAGGAAAAAATAATTCTTTGCTTTATTTTGTTTACCACTGACTAAATAAAAATAAAAATCATGCAAGCATACTGAAAACTATTGTGGATTGTTTACGTGAAGATTAAAATGCAAGCACAACTCTGTTAGATTAAACATACCCATATTGATGCTATCACTTTACGTTATATTCTCTGATTCATCAATTCACTAGGAGCACTCATCCTAATTCGGAATTATATTTATTTGGAAAGTTAATGTCCTATATTTATTTCAGAAAGACTAAATAATAATTAGAATCTTGAATCAGAAAGAGATCAAATTTTTTGTTTTGCTAAGTTTCGTACTGCTGCATATATCTGTGCGATTTAAAACAAGCTTGAAGCTCTCAACGCTTTGTAGAGACGTAGTAGCTATANAAAGTTAAAATTGATTTTGTATGAAATATTGGAATGAATAGTTGAGTTAAAATAACATCGCATTTATGAAACAGAAAATGAGACTTTATACATTAGTTTTCAAAAATGAATTGCAATAAGAGTTTTTATAAGAAGCATAAATTTCATAAAAATACATAAAATAATAATACAAAAAACTAATGGTACATGTATTACACAAAATTTGTATATTATGGGGTAATTAGAATCAAAAAAAATGTTTTTAATTTATTCAATTCCTTTTTTTAAAATCATACTAGTTAATATTTAAACAAGATAAAAAATAATGAACAACTTTGCAACAATAGATTTATAACAAAGAATTTATATTTATAAATGTATATTCATTAAACAAATGAGTCCTTTACCTATAATTAAAATATTATCAAAAGAAAGAAGAATACGATTAAACAAAGCAGAGAAAAATAAATAAATAAATTACGTAATAAACACAAATGAAAAGATTTGTAAACTAGATTGTTAGATTTTTTGTTAAAATTTATTTCTGTTCAAAATTAATTTACCACCCACTTGAGAATGGTTGTCTTTTTTTGTTTGGTAAATTTCTGCATTTCTCAATTTTACTATAAGGATTTCATATAAGTTCATTATATCATTGATTCTGTATTTTTAACTTTTGTAATTAATGTGAATACTTGTATATTCCAATAGTTTATAATTTTTCTTAACTATAGAGCACTAAATGATCAATCTTTGCTTGACGGAGCCTCAACTATAGATATAAAGTTCATTAGCAGTTGTAAACAAAAAAAATTAAAGAAAGATTACTAATTTAATTATTTTGACAATATCTAATGCGAAGAATTACATTTTTTGTCTTATCATTGTTTAAATCTTAAAATCAGGTTTTATATCCGACAGTTTAATTCAGAGGTCTAAAGTTGCATCCAGTCTAGTTCTTGATTTGTTTTTGATGGATGCATCACCTAAAAGTGAATAAAATAGGTCGAACAAAGATTTTCAGGTTTTAAATTAAACAGTTTAATTCAGAGGTCTTAAATGGCATCTAGTCTAGTTCTTGATTTGTTTTCGATGAATGCATCAGCTAAAATTGAATAAAATAAGCTGAATAAAGATTTTCATTGAAAAGAAAAAAGAAAAATGATTGATATAAAAGTTGAGAATGGTTATCTCTTATCAATAAAACAAATTTCATCGATGTTGAATTAATTTTTATTTCGAATTGAAGAGTTTGATGGAAGGACAAAAAAAACAAACATTTTTATAAATACATCTTTCACATTTTTTATCAATATATATTTCTTTTTATTTCTTTCCCCGACATTTTAGTTAAAAAATTTAATGAAAATAACAAAAAATTATATAAATAGTGGATTATTAATGATCAAAATTCATTCATTTGACCTGTTGAACCACAATTTGAAGTAATTAAATATTTATTCAAATGAAATTGCATAGATTTTAAAAACATTATTAATACATAAGGATTAATTTAAACACTTCATAGTATTTAAGAAAATGATTACATTCTTACACCTCTCCTACTCATTCTTTTAAAAAAGAAGAACAATACTCGGGACCAAATCTTTTGTTGCATTTATACAAGTGCTTGATCTTACTGAATTCGGGTAAGGGAATTTCAAATTTGAAATTAGTAATGATAGAACCCTAACTGGCATTTTCGATATAGCTTATTTATATTATTGGGATGTACAAGTTTATGAAGAATGAATAGAGGTTAATATATACGAGGCGCATCCAGAAAGTAAGTTTCCCTAATTTATAAAAAACACGAAGTCGCACTTTCAGGAACATATTTATTGGCAACAAGTACAACAATGTGTCAGTTCAACATAGCCACCACCAGAATTGAGACACTTGTCGTATCGTGGAATCAACTTTTATATCCCTCTGTCATAGAACTCTACCGCCTGTGAATGGAACCAACGTGTGACAGACGTCTTCAGTTCTTCGTCCTTGCCAAAATGCTCACCGGAAGACAAGAATTTCTTGAGGTGCAAGAAAACGTGAAAATCACTGGGAGCAATATTAGGGCTGTAGGGTGGATGATCGAACAACTCCTAGCCATATTCCGTCAAAACAGCTGCTACGCGTCATGCCGTATGTGTTAGACAAATAATAGAAGTTAAAAGGTATGAGGTTCGATTTTCCGTCGTCGATCTCATGCATTCAGCTTGCGTCGGTGACGTCACGGTCTGCGGGGATCGGCCAGTTTATTTTCATTTGCTGTTGGTCGTTCTTGCGTGGATCATGACGTCACCTCTTATCTGTATTTAAGCTTCTGTTGAAGCAGATCATCTTGTATTCTTTCTTTTCGTCACTCTGTGACATTCTTTATTACTAATGTTTTTAAATAAACTAATTTCTTCAGAAACTTTGCTTCTCTTTTTTTTTTTGAGTTGTTGATATACAGGTATGATATTCTGAGAGAATTTCGGCTGTCAGTATGTGGACAAATATTGTCATGGATGAGCGCAACACCAGCAGTAAACATTCCATAATTCTTGTTTTGAATGCCAAGTCACAATTTCCGCAGTGTTTCACAGTAACGGTAGATGTCTGTCTTACGCTGGTTCCATTCACAAGCGGCAGAGTTCTATGACAGAGGGATACGAAAGTTGATCCCAGGATACGACACGTGTCTCAATTCTGGTGGTGGCTATGTTGAAAAATAGCTTAAACATTGGTGTACTTGTTGCCAATAATGATCTTGAAAGTGCGAGTTCTTTTTTATTAATTAGGGAAACTTACTTTCTGAACCCACCTTGTATTGAGGGACAGCAGCCAAAATTTTCAGAAAATAGGTGGATTTATTTTTAAAAAAAATAGGAGTGTTGAAAAACAAATAAAAAATTCACTTTAAAGTAACTTAAAACATTTTCATGGATATTAATCTAAATCACAAAAAATATCTACTTCCCTAACATAGGCCAATATAAATTTAAAGAATACTAATTAAAGGATTAAAAATTCTCTAAGTAAGACAGATATTTTACTTTCTACTCCTTTCATTGAGACTTTAGAATTATGATGCATAAGTAATATAAGATACAATTTGTAAAAACAATATATTTACATTAAATTAAGCTAAGAACATTTATCAAAAATTTTTTTTTGACAAATTTTCCATTTTACAAATAAAATATTCTTATATCAAAAACTCTTATATTATAAAATTTAAAAATACATTAATTTCACATATAATTTTGTCTAAAAAAAGTTATTTTGGCAAGGAAACCTTTCTTTATGCTAAAAAAAAAATTTGAATTTATTTAATGTCCTATCATGAATTGCATTCTACAATTATTATATACCCTGAGGCAGAATTTTTCATGGGTTTCTGCAAGATACTTTTAACAATAGATATATACGTTAATTATTGAAAACAATAAAAGCGTTGTGTTAACAAAGAAAAATAAATTATTTGGATAAAAAAGAAAAAGTAGGAAATAACAGGAAAAAAGGAAGGATGACAAAATAATAGGAAAAGTAAGAAAAACAGGAAGTCTGCGGTCCCTGTTTATAAATATATATACATATGAAAAAATCCAATTCAAATTGTAGCCTCAAAATGCGCAGTTAAATTAAAGTACTTTAAATTTTGCTGATATTTTTAACTTATTAAAACATTTTGCTCCTGAGAGACTGTTGATTGATACATTATTTATAACACTACTAAATATTAAAAATGAAAACATATAAAGTATTATATATATAAAGTATCATGTATCACATTCCATTTTCATGTACGACGTATGTCCCCTTTGTCAAAAGTCTCAATTAAAAATAAGCAGAAGTTATTTCTTTCAATACATTAAAGTAAAAGTAAAGTTATATAAATCCAATAAGTATAGTGTCTTAAAAATATAGTTTTATTTTGATAAAATTTTTGATGAGACATAAAATTCATAAAAGCATAATATTATATCATGTAATCCTATGTGACAAAACAATCACGAATGAGATAACCTTTTGGGGACATATTTCAATATTTTAAATTGTAGTCGAACTTTTAAAGAAATATAAGTCATAAAACGTTTAGCTAAATAAAAATAAAAACTTTTTTTTTTACAATGAATTTGAATTGATCTGGTTTTCTGAGAAGAAAGATACAACATTAAAAACAATACGAGAAAAACCAAGACATTGATTACAGTAGAAATTATCATGATTAAAATAAATATATGTATAAAACTCTATATTGCAAAACAAAAGTGGAAAATTCAAGAATATTAAAGTAGTTTTAAGTTTAGCATTTTCCTTATTTTGTTTCGGTTCAACTTATATGGCTTTAAGAATAGAAAATGTTGTGCTTAAAAATGAAAATAAAATTATTCAGTAGATTGACAGTACTAGTATTCATATTTTGAAGAAATAATAAATTATAATAATTGTGGTCGGAATAATTTTTATACAGATTTTATTTCATTATTTACCTTTTTATTATTTAAAAGAAAAGAAACAGACAAGATGAGATATTTCGATTCTCTTGTATCACATGGTCCATTTTGGAAACCATAAAAACTTTATATAAATTTACACAATGAAATAAAAAAGACAACACAAAAAGCTCTCATTTTCTTCCTCTATCCGCAGTATTTATAATTTCAGTATTAAAATGTTAAAAACTTAACACTTTTAATTCAGAAAATTTTTTTTGTTAAAAATAACAAATTATAAAAATGTTAATTAGCACAAAATAATTACTTTAAAAATCCCATATTATTTTGATAAAAACAGAATAAATGAAATAACATAAAATATGCCTAAAACACTCATACAATAAATTAATTTTAACAAATTATCCCATTCTTAAAAAAAGTAATATATGAGGTGAATATGGAAGATGTAGAGGGGAAGGGGACAATTCCTACATCAAAATGCGTTATTATAAATTACATTTAATATTTTGGCTTTAACTTTTCTCTCTATGCCACAAGTTTTT